GACTTATTGTCATCATTCATACGAAGTTTCAACGATTTACCTTTAGTCTAAGTAGGCTAAATGTCAAGTTATTTTGAAGCGGGACATTGAGTTTTGGTGCCGTTTTCCTTGGCATCTAGCGCTTCTAACCTAAAGTACGATGGCGGACCTGGCTTCAGCTGCTTGAAGACAGTTAAATAGGCGTGCTCCATCTATTGGAGTGATCGTTGGCAAATGTCGACTAAAACTACCTGTTTTTGATAGCAAAAAGATCCAATTTTGATTCAATATCTTATTGATTTATTTTTGAATGCTACAAAACAGAATACAAATTTTATTAACGTTGCAGCACTACCGTAATATCTACACAATAAATAACATGCCAAGAGTTTATTAAATTAAATATTTTACCTACGACCGTTTTTTAAAGTAGCCATTTCAGTACAGTTCTTAGAACTGAAATGTTTCTCATAAAAGCATTGTTTACTTTCATAACAGCGTAGTTTTACTCATAACAACACGGGTAACGGACCAATGAGGATCAAGAATTGAAAGAGAAGAAGTAAAATTGTATTTATTAGAACTTCAACTAATCTGGTCAATTTAATTGTTGAGTGGTGCAATTTGTGTTTGGTACCACATAAACGAAAACATAACCTCTCTTAGAAGTTTTGAATAGTGATTATTAGTAATTAATAATCGGTCGTAGGTAAAATAGAGCTAACGACACTCGTACAAGTTTTTTAGGCACTCTCCAAAGCTTGGACCTAAAATTTTCTACTCGTGTCGTTACTACCTTTACGCGATCGTTGCGTTAACTAATAATGTAAATGAGAGTTTAAACAAACAATTAAATCAGTTGTTTTAAACTAATAAAGCATTATTGTTAGATTAATGTTTTTCTAAGTGGGCTATTACCAACAAAAACACAAGGTTTACCACTTGAATTTAAACAACACGTTTTGTGTTTCCCATCCTATTGTAAAATTGGTAATTTTTTTTGATAATAATATAAGTTGGTAACACACTTGGCAGTTATACAGGGTGAGTTTTAAATGAGTTCCCCCCTACTTTTTTCTACATTTCTTAAGATACCATCTCCGGACCACGTCAGATCATTGTAGAGTAGTAAGTACTTCATTTTTACTGGGTATACATTTTTGGTCGCCATCTTGGATCTGCCATATTGGATACAAAGTTTTTTTTCAAACGTAAAGGCAGGGTATGTAAAGAATGTGACCCATTATTTCAAACTAGAATTTTACGCTGATTACAATGCCGCAATTATTTTTTAAATATCTTGATCCGTTCTAAAGCTATGAGGACTCTTTATTTTTAGCACATTTTAACATTGTGCATTTACAAACTAAGGCCATAATCTCAAAATAGTATTAGATAAAGATAAGTATTCACCACCATTCATTGTCGACCTATTTTCACTTGGTTATGACAGATGTAATTTTTTCGGCCGCAATCTTGGATCTGCCATTTTGAAATGTGAAAAATTAATTTAAATATGAAGGTGGTGTTGTAACCCATCATTTTGAGCTACTTTTTTATGGTAAACTCAATGCCGCAATCCATTTTTCATTTGCATCTTTGGTTTTTGAAATATTGAATTTTAAAATAAGATAATTTTAATATTTCATCAAGAAAGCTTGATAACCAAAAACGGATTGCGGCATTGAGTTCAGTATAAAAAGTAGTTCAAAATGATGGGTCACAACACCACCTTCATATTTAAATTAATTGATCACATTTGAAAATGGTGGATCCAAGATGACGGCCGAAAAAATTACATCCGTCATAACCGAGTGAAAATAGGTCGACAATGAATAGTGGTGTATACTTATCCTATACTAGCACTATTTTGAGATTATGGTCTTAGTTTGTAAATGCACAATGTTAAAATAGGCTAAAATAAAGTTATAAAAAGTCCTCATAACTTTTAAACGGATCAAGATTTTTATAAACAAATTGCGGCATTGTAATCAGCGTAAAATTCTAGTTTGAAATAATGGGTCACAACCCTACATTTGAAAAAAACTTTGTATCCAATATGGTGGATCCAAGATGGCGGACAAAAATGTATACCCAGACCAAATAAAGTACTTACTACTCTACAATGATCTGACGTGGTCCGGAGTTGATATCTTAAGAAATGTAGAAAAAGCAGGGGGGGGGAACTAATTTAAAACTCACCCTGTATATCCGCAGGGTTATTAAATAAAAGCCCTATACCTAAAGTGGTTATTTAGGTTTTTGTTTTACTAGAAAACATCTAATTCTAATAAGAAAATGAGGACGAGCAATAATCGCCAGAAACACACTAAGTACTTTGACAATGTTTTGTGCTCGTTGTATATTACTCGAAATGTTTCTCATAGGTGTATGAATTGTAACAAAATAACGAACTCATAAGGTCTGATGAAAACTATGTTTGCAATTCTTTCAAAGCTGGCAAGTCTTCAAACAATTACATCTGCTAATCATTTGGCTCAGGCCACCTTAATGCTTTCTGAATTGCCAAATCTGGTCAAGTTTGACAAAATGATGGTTGGTTTTAACCAGAACATTGTGTGTTAACCAGACATTAGCGAAACATTACCGATTCAAAGTATATGCTATGTCTACATCTTTACTTGTGAAATTTATATCATGGATGTTAATAGTTATGGGACAAACTGACCATTTAAATTGATGAAATATTTTTTAGCGAATTTCCCCTATAGGGAATAAGCTATTACCGTAATACTCATGGTACGACCTGGACCCGGGACCGATTTACTTTTTAGTTTTGAGGTCCCTAGAGACCAAAAACACCATCCGTTCAAATTCATATATATATAAATATATTTATAGCCTATATGTGTCCGTTAGCGCGATAACTCGAGCAAAAATCATCCGATTTTGATGAAATTTGGTACAAACGTGTAAATTTGGAGACCAGCTATTTCCTTAGACATGGCCATTTATTAAAATCCCAATAATCATGGACTAGGCGAGCGTAAACAACAAAAACGTCTTATAACACTTAAAACTTACATTTACGCTTATACTGTTACTCCCAGAGGGGAGGTAATTGCCCGGTGTTGGAACCGGCACTTCAGGTAGACCACAAGCTATGGACGACTGGACAAGCCAGCCTCTTTGGGTTGTACCCAAAGTGAGAGTACCCAGTGACATTCCCTCCATTCAGGGTGGTGGGGTGTTCAGCTCTGCTAGTGTTGATTAAGTTCATAGATCTTTCACCTGCCTGTAGCTTGTGGTTGTGACTGAGTCCTACCTGTAGTGTACGACTGACATTTTGTGAGGCATATCCTTGACTTTGGAAGTAGCCTCGTCCTGGGAGGTGAAATACCTAGCCCCCAGAGGGGAGGTAAATGCTCCGTGTTGGTATCGGCATTTTCAAGTTGGCCACAGACATGGACGACTGGGCATCGGGTCCCAGTGACATTCCTTTATCCAGGATGGAGGGGTGTTTAGCTCTAGGAGAGATGGAAGTACATCATAATCTCTAACCTACCTGTGTCTGTGGTTCTTTGGGCTTCGGCCTGCTTGTTGTGTGCGACCAGCATTCAGTGGGCAAATCCTCGACTTTGGAAGTAACCTTTCCTGGAGGTGAAAACGGGCAAGTACCCGCAGCTCACGGGGACACTCAAGGGCAACGTAACTTTCCGCAGTGTGAGGGCAACGGTTTGTAGGTACTTATGCAAACCAATCCCTGTCTCTGAGCACGGACGGTATGGTTATCTTGAGTGTGGGGGGTTCTTCCCGGAACCTCAATTGAGTCAAGGGTGTCGCCACCTCTGGTGGATAGGTTCATCCGGGTGGGTCCCACTTCTATACCTGCCTCCTTTTGGGAAACCCTGATGGCCTGGCAGTGATGTTGGGTCTGACGGGCAAACGAAGTAGATCGGGTGCTGGGTCCGAGCCCGCCAGGGGTATCTGGGGATCTATCGCTCTGGTTATCTCTGGTTTCCCAGAAATGGGTAAGGCCTCGATCGGGCAGCGGTGTAAACGGGTTGGGGTTCCGCTGACGGTCCCCTTCCTCCTGGCTATTGATGGCGGGTTCTGCCTGTCAGGGATTAGATAGTTCCCGAGTGTTGCTTGCACTAAATGCGTCGGGGCGCTCTACCATGGACCTCTAGGTCTCGACCTAGTGGAACCCAGGTGGAGTGACGCTTAAACAAGCAGCCGGAATCCCTGGTTAGGATTGAGGGGCAACCCTCCTTCCGAAGGGTCTGCTTCGGCAGCCGGCGAGCCTGATGACCTTAAGTCATCCGCCCATGATGTGCTAAAGGTTGATGCGTAAGCTTCGGCCTACATCATGGGGCCCGGGTATGTCCTAAAGGATAGGTACCGGGTATGCAGTCAGGGGGCTTCGGCTCTCATGACAAAACGAAATGGAAATGGAAAATGGAATATACTGTTACTCACAAGACTGTAAATATACATAAAAGATAAGTGGTGATCGATTTCGATTTGACACTTCAATCATCATCAGACCAAATAAATGAATGAATCTCCTATTTGGTCTGATGATTATTGGAGTGTCCAATGGAAATCAATCATCACTTACCATTTTTTATGTATATTTACAATTTTTTGTATATTTACCATAAGGGTTGTTGTCAAGCTAATGGAAGAAAGTCTGTGTCAGATTGCTGATGTCATTAATTTTTCAATTTATACCTCCAGTTTAGGTAGGGCTTCAGACCATCTAATCACAGAGTTATTATGTATAGGTCTAGGGTCTAGCTTATGCTGATAAGCAGGAATTGAACCCAAACCCTCAGTACAGGAGGGCTAAGCTTTAATTACTAAACCAATTATATCTTTTCAGTGAGATTGTGACTTTCTAATTTTCTTCTACTATTCATGACAAAAGTTTTTAGCAAAACTAATACCTAATGTTAAATAAAAATATGTGTATTTTTTCATATAAGAAAGTTAAAATTAATGTTATCTGAGGGAAACAATTCCAACTAAATTTAAAACTGATCCGGAGCAAAACTCACCTCTGCAGCGATGTCGAAGTCTTTCTTGTCAATAGCCCCGCTCTTATTTCTATCTGGAAACAATAAAAAACCAAGTTCTAAACAATCCTCATGAATTTACAATCTCCATTTGACCAGGGATTAATTCCAGTCATATCCATAGCAAAATTGATACCAAAATCATAATTACGGAAAGTAAATAAACATACGTTTAATAACATTTGAAACATACATTTACGTTTGACTATTGCCTCAAAAGACTGTAAATACATATAAAATATGGTAAGTGGTAGTATTATGTATTTACCATCTTGCGAGTCAACAGTTTAAATGTATGTTTCAAGTGTTATTAGACGTATATTTTTATTTGATTTCCGGAATTTTAATAATCTACCAAAGTTTATGATATGATCATGTTCCTGCCAACTATTTAATCAAAGACAAAGAAAAAATCCACATAATAGATTTAAGCTCTAGTATCAAAATTTATATTTGTCCATACATTATTACTTTATTACAGTTAATGGTATTATCAAACTTCAGTATTATGTAGACTAATAAATACACTTATTGATTTTAAGAACACTATTTTTTATTGTTCAGCCATTATGTATACTTTAACATATGATTATTTTAAAAATAGCTTTTGAGTAATTATATATTATAACGTTCCATTCTGAATGTTTTTCTTCAATTTTTCTACTACACAATTTATAAATTAGTTACAGTGCAATCCTTATTGTATGGATAAATTAAACAGGACACTGACTATTCAAGAAACTTCATTTGGTTAGTTCAACCCAAGTTTAAGAAATTTAGGTTAATTTGTTTGCTTCGACAAACAATAAAAAGCTCACACTAATACACACGCACACACACTCACTCACCATTCACCAACATACTCAAAACTCAAAAATTGACTATTCACTGGTCTTCAATACCACGGGTAAGAGAAGATACCCTAAGTATGTATGTATTCCTAAAATTTACCTAAAGAAAAAAAACACCAGTTGTATTATGTAAACCGGTAATTTGAAAAAGGCCTCTACGTACCAATGGGTTTTTATTATACTTTAGAAAACCATTTTCTAAATTTATTTATATGACTTTAATTGAGTACATTATACAAAATAAACTTATCGCACACAAAAAAAATGTATATTTCGGCATTAACCTTCTTCAGGAACAAACAAACAAATAAAATAGCCTATTTTATTGAGTACACAAATAGTTGAATAAATAAGCATGTTTATAGAATTTAAAGAAACCCGTTTAAGAACAGGTATCAAAAACTTTGTCCTTGGAGTATGGAAAAGTTATACTAGTTAAAAGAAGAAATTACTTTTTTCCATTTATTCCTTTGGGCTTTTATTTAATTACGATGACATCAAACTACAACAAATGGTACATAACAGATAGTTCAAATCAAATATGTGATCCCTTTCAAGCATTGTTTAGTTAGTCAAACGTAAATTACTTACCGAAAAATACGTTAAACAGGTACATGAATTTCTTCATTCGGAATTGTGAAATGGACATCTTTCCCTGAAATAAGTAAAACAAATTAGTAGCTTGTCTAGGTATTGGTGAGTTTGAAACAAATAGTATGATAAATAGTATGAACGAAATTCAACACTATAAAGAGACATTATGACTCACGAATACGCTCAAATGTTTTGGGAGAACCTTATAGAAAATAAAGTAAATTTAAAAATCATATAAACATACGGTCGTTCATCAAATTCGTTGCCAAAATAGTTCCAACTATTTCCATATTTTTCCCTCTGTTATAAGCATCACAGACTTAGGTTTAAAATAGTTTTACCGCATGATTCTATAATACAAGGTAAATATTAGTTTTATTTTAGTCTGGCGTAATATTTTCGTTTCAACGGGTTAGGTTGCACACTCAATTATTTAAATAAGTGTAATAATGACAAATACAATTAAATGGAAAATCGTTTATTCCAACAGGAATGGTTTTCAAACAACCATAATTTTTAAATCTAGAACAACTAATCGTGTAAGAATGCATTTCAATTAAGGTTATTGTAAAACTTATTAAGGTTGTTGTTAAAGATGTTTTTCTATCTAGGGGTGTGTTGTTAGTCTATTGGTTTTTCCCTAGGACGGTAGGCACGAGCCCGGGATTATTTTTCACATTACTTCAGGCTAGATCTATTTGTAACATTATCACTTTAGATCAAAATCCATTGGTGAATTGGCGGGATTTGAACCCGGGACCTCAGGGATCTAAGTCCCGTGCTCTAACCACTACATCAGCTCACTACCCTAGTCTATTGGTTTGAAAGGGTTAAACTTAAAAGAGTTTGCGTTATCTTGTAATTTAAAAAAAGTTTTCGTCAAGAATCTCGTCCAAAATGTTGTCCATAAAGCCTTAAAACTACTGTGCTCCTCTTGTCTTTTTCTCTACGAATAACATTTCTTTGAAACTTTAGCATATATAGAATAGCTGTAGAATAGTTGTAGGATCAATAAAAGTGTACCTTTCGATGTTTATCCACCAAAGCACATGCAAATCCATAAACTTCTGAAAAGCACAAACGTCCTAAGGTGAGAATTATGCGTTTCTTGGAAGTTCTTTTTAGTGGATATTGTGTATCCTACAAGACTTCAAAGCGTTTCATATCCTTAAACAAATTAATTTTTATTTGTGAGTATCTTTGGTGTATTGAATGAATATTAATTTTGAAACCAAATAACGAAATTACATACACCTTTTTATACAAAGGTTGCATACATTGAGATTAAATTATAACAAGTTGGAACGATAAATAAATGTAAAATCATATTAAGATTATATTACATTAAGGTGCCTAAGCTATACCACAGATTATAATCTACCAACCAAAAGGCATAGGTAGGTTGAGGGTGTAGATCATATTGAGGATTAACACACATACGAGGGTTATCAGAATGAACACAAAATCATAGTAAATTGAAATCACTTTTTAACTGTATTATGTTATTCAATACATATTTAGCTAAAATCATATTATGACTAAACAATAACACAGTTAATTATACTATTATTAAATCACCAGAGGGTAACGGAATGTTGAGATAAACTCATATTGAGGTTAAATCATATTATCGTTAAATTGAAATGAAAAAATATGCTTTATTATACAAACTAGAAAGTATTAAATACCTAGAGAAAATCTTTTTAAGGACATTTCAAAGACATTTCAAAATTTGATTTTTGTAATTTTAACTCATACCAACGTTAAATTATGTTCAAATTAAGCCATAAGGTAAAATAGTACTGTAATTAATCGTAGTGGTATATCATATTGATAACATGATGTTAATAAGGTTAACGTTAATTTGTACTGAGGGTAAATCACATTAAGGTTAAATCAAATTATGATTAAATTTAAGCAGGTAATTTATGTTATATTTGAATCATATTATGGAAATCATATTCTTTATTTGTCATTGAGGACTTTACTTTACCTTTAACATCGAACTAGTTTTAAATTATATTAATTTCGAATCATTTAAATGATTAAAAGTATCTAAGTCATAAATCTCGTATGTTGTTTTGAAATGTTTGTGTCAATTGCACCCTTGCTCAATACCGTGTAGAGATTCCGATCAAGATAGTTATTTGAAACACCTGGCAACTGTTCCTACTTTACCTCAAGTCTATTTTCATTGCTTATACCGCTTGTCTTGGTAGGTTGGCATTTCGATCCATTCAATATATAAAATGCAGGATTAGACATTTACCAGCTAACAGCACATTTCAATCAATCCACAATGTTGCCAAATGCCATCTAGATTTATTCGACGCTCGGTCGAACCATCTAATGCTACCATTGATCAATCTAAACGTTCGCCTTCTTGGACGTTTTATTTGACTAGAGGTACATAGTTTACGTTTGTGAGTAAATGGTGATTGAATGCAAATTATTTGTTTCGTTCAGATTTATCATATTAATAAAACGTGAATACTTCTGTTAACATTAGCCAGAGTGCTTTATTTTTGCCTCTTGAAAGCGTTATCAAAAAAGTTCCTAAAGAAGTTCCTTTTTATCATAATTTTGGAAATATAACTTTTTATAAGATACGTAAAAAATATTTTACTTTTTGTAGAATTACTTTTTTAAGTAGATGGTTGTTAAGGGAATTTTTCACAAAATTAAAGGGGTTTACTTGTACCATTTTGAGTTATAATATACAAAACATAAGCGAAACAAAGAAGCATGTCTTGCCATACCAAACAAGAAGTAAGATTTGAATTTTGTAAACTAATCTAAATTGAAGGATTTTAAACCTTCTTTTTGATTTTTGATCCCATATTTAACGGAGTGTTCAAGATCAAAATTTGACATTATTGAGCCGAAAACAGCGCAAATATATACGTAATTTGTACATCATGGAAAATTTAATTTCATATTCCAAGGCCTCCAAAAGCAACGGTACTCTGTTGACTACAAAAACTATGTAGTAAAAACTAGAACTAGATTTTTTTCAAACTAACGTCAACAATCAAAGTCTCCAAATATTTACAGAATACCCTGTAGACTTAATTAAAATGTAATGAAAATGTTAACAGCTGAAAAATATTCAATGTGAATAGTGTCGAACAGCTGTTCCATTGCAACGCGTCTGTTGGAACTTGTCTCACAGATGTGATGTAGGTGTTGAAGGAAGTGACGATTACAAATCAACAACATTGGCAAACTTCCTGCGACTACTGATGCGTCTTTGTGTTGTTGGCTTTAACATAAATATAATTGGCTTGGGAATTAACAATTGGACCTATGTGTATCCATTGATCTACACATTAACTTTTATAGGAGCTTAAACGTTTAAAGTGCTTGAGCAGTAATTTAATTGACGTTTGTAACAATGTCAAAGTGTTTTATAAAAATTTAAATATTTTGTGGATGTTTAAGTTTTAATATGGATTTTTACCCCTCTAAATATTCGATACAATCTGATGAATACTTATTTGTGATAATCAGCTCTGTTATAAATGTTAATAACTAGATTTGGGACTAAGTTGGTGAAATTCAGTTATCTTCTAATGACTATAAACAGAGCATATCATATAATTCAAATGATGTTAAACAGGAGAACACTATGCAAGTAAACATTATAACGATCACCTGATTTTATTGAATTTCCCATTTGATTTGGATACTGTGTAGTATCCAAATCATTATGCAGATAGAGCTGCAATACTTGGTACAAAGTTACAGGGCATAAAACTCTATTTTAACACATATTCAGTGATCCAATATCTCTTCAGGGGGACGGCCCACAAGGAGTCGGAAGAAAATCTTAAATGGAAGCATAGGTCAATATGCACATCAAATTAAAGGGTTTTTTTTAGTAGAATACAATGCCGCAAACCGCACTTCAAAAGGTTGATCTTTCGCAAAATGGCAGATGTTCAAAAATTTCTTGAATCCGCCATTTTTTACTCAGGCGTTTTTTTTAGCTTGAATTTACGGCATCGTAATCTACTAGTGAAGACCTTTAATTTGATGTGCATATCGACCTATGCTTACGTTAACAATTTTCTTCCGATTCCTAGGGCTGTGCCCCCTGAGGAGTAAGCGTATAATAGCAATGTAAATTAAATGAATCTTTGAACAACTGCCATTTTTGCGCAGGATCAACCTTTTGAAGTGCGGTTTACGGCATTGTATTCTACTAAAAAGGACCTTTAATTTGATGTGCATATTGACCTATGCTTTCATTTAAGATTTTCTTCCGACTCTTTGTGGGCCGTCCCCCTGAAGAGTTATTGGATCACTGAATATGTGTTAAAATAGAGTTTTATGCCCTGTAACTTTGTACCAAGTATTGTAGCTCTATCTGCATTATTTTTTAAAATATTTAACTGTCCTGGGACTTTTTTACCACCCTGTATTATAAAATACAGAAAACGAACAATACATACCAAAATGAGTTTTTAACTGAAATTTAGCCCATATAAAAATAATACCATTAACAATAGGATATAGGAACAGTCCAAACAACTGGACATTATACAATATTCTTATCAACAAAAATCTTTAAATTTTTAGCTAGTGTTTCTATTGTTTTATATATTTACTTCTATTATTTCCATAATAAAACATTCTTATCACTAACCCCATCCTTGTTGTTTGTTATATTGTTGTTATATCTACTTGTTAATATCCTTTGCACAGTGTTTTCCGTTGATAAATTTATTAGTTGTATAAACATTACCCGATGTGGGTTTCATTGCAAATTATTTTCAATATTTCTATAAAATAAAATATGAATGATAGAAAAAGATACCTCGGAAATTCACCGTTTCCGATTGATATATTTAGTTTGAAATGCTATCCATACCAACTAAGCTGAAAAGAGCTCTTTTTTGTACCTTAATTCTTAAAAAAATATTTTATACAACGCTAAAGCGCTCAATGAAAAGTATCAATGATTATTCCGTAGTGATTATTCTATTGATAACGTTTTTTTAATGGCCTCGTATAATTTTATTGCAATTTAAGGTCGACATTAATGAGTGTAATACCCTC